AGAAAAACAAAAAATATATAAAAAAAAAAAGAAAGAAAAAGCCGAAGTTTGTGGTACACGTGGCGTGGGCTGGCCCGAGGAGCTCGTCATCTTGCAGATGTGGCAAAATTGGACTGGTTAGCTGGTATGCCATCGTTATTGCAAACAACTTTCTCACATCATTGGAAAAGACAAAAAAAAAATAATAATAATAATAATAATAATAATAATAATAATAATAATAAGTAATTTAAATTAAATTAAACGTATTCTTCTACGCTCTTTATACTACGTTTTTTATTTTCATTTTTTAAATACTTATAAAAATATATTATTATTTTAATTGGTATATTATCTAACACTAGTACAACGCCAGTGTATTTCACGGTTGCTTGCTAATTTTCTTTTTAAAATCTAAAGTTAATGAGAAAAAGTAGTTGAAAATTTAAATATCTTTATAAAAATATATATATATTATTATATATTTAGTATGACACTTTTTATTTGTCCAACTTACATGTGTTATATTATAATAACTTTTTTAACTTACAACATATAACTACATTAAGCATAAATATATCAATTGAGAAATAATTTTATTTTGCTAATGAATTTTAATAGATATTATTATTTTTTATTATTATAAATATAAATATATTTATTTATTTCATATATACAATATGGATGTTAAATCAAAGATCATCAAAAGATGATTAATTTGATATATTATATATGCAAAACCGATACGAAATACATAATTTATCGACTTTTAAAATACATTTATAATTCAATAGCTAATTGAATGAAACAAATCAAAAGTCAGGATATATTAGTCACTTAGTGCATCAATATGTAAAATTACAAAGAAATAAATGATTATATTAGTACTAAGTGATATTAAAATACCTAAGTTAGCTAAATAAATTTATGGAATGTTCAAACTTAAATTATTAATTATTAATATATCAATATTATTTGTCCAAACCTAATTACGAAGCATGATTCTTTGCCAAGTAGGATTTCGAATCACCAGAAACAGTCACGTAAGCTCAACGCATCCTAGAATAATATATAGGGAGGATTATACTCATCAATATACTATAATTGGACGTTACATTTGATATGTAAATTTATTTTAGTTGTTTTATATTAATTTTTTTTATTTTTTTATTATTATTATTATTATTATTTTTTTCAGTTGGAAATTATGGATGTATGGTTATTGATTATAGAGGTAACTATTTTTTTTCCTAATAGCAGGACTACTAGTACGTACCTCGTGCGATGCACGGGACAAAAATATTAAATGAGTTATTTTCAGAGGTTTTGTTCGTTTAAATATATACAGCAATAGAGTTATCATCTATTTTCAATCCCTTTTAATCAGTGTTAAGTGTAATAAGCATTAAGATTTCATATATTTTCTACATCTTTAAATCAACATTAAGTGTAATAAGCAATAAGGTTATAATATATTTTGCACCTTTTTTAATCATCGTTTTTTTTAGTCAAAATATTAAATATGAGCATGTTACGGCTAGTTCGTAAAATAATTTATATATTATCTCACTAACAAATGTATACTAATATAAATTTGATTTTAGTATATATATTTATTTCTTGATATAAGAGAGAATGACAATGTTATTTATTCTTGTTCACCATATAATACTTAATTATTATTTTAATAAACTTTGTTGTCATATAATGTCATTATTATTTATAAAGTTATAAAAGTTGTACGTCTTCTTTTTCTTTTTATTTTACGTAATGAAAAGTATTTAATGCACCTTAGTATTATTTATTTATGTAATCAATTTAAAATATGTAAATAAAATTTAAAAAATAAAATAGTGTATAAATATTTTATAAAATATACACATGTTTTTTTAGAATTTAATTTTGTATACTAATTAAACAACTTTGATTTAGAAAATGTAAAAAACTCAATCCCTTCTATGATCAAGACTTTTCTACTTCGCATTACAAGGATTTATAGTTGTAGCATACTCTGCAATGAAAATATATTTTACAATAATTTAATTATAAAAATAAATCAAAATAAAAATATGAAAAAAAAAATCATGGGTGCCAATAATATACAAATAAACTCTAAAGAATAGTTACTATATTTCCATTTTAATATTTTACCATTAGTAAAACTATTTAATGTATTTGGTCATTATCTCTTAAATGGTAAATTAGATTAATTTGAAGAACAGTTTATTTTTTATATTTAACAAAATAAAACTTAAGAAAAAAAATATATTAGTAAAGATTAATTCACCAACTTGATTTTGTATGATTACTTAGGAGAAAAAAATTATAGCTAACCTATTACGATTTTTCATAAATATTTTTGGATAAAAGGTGAATATTTGTGAAAAAAAAACATTATGGTTAAAACTTAAAATATGGTGTAATATTTATCTTGACCAAAATATTATCAACATGGATCATGAAAATCAATATTGTAATTTATTATAATGAATATCAATGAGAGAAATATTAATAAAATATATTTATTTTGACCAAAATATTATCAACATGAATCACGGATAATCAATCTTGTAATTTATTGTAATAAATATCAATGAAAATATTGTAGATATTAATAAATTTATTTAAATAATTTTTTTATCATATCTTATTTGTTCTTGTTTGAAAATGTGTACATAGAAACAATAAATGCATATATTTAAAAAGTTTCCAAAAATGGTATACACTAAATGTTTCTAAATTTTTAACTACTATTTTTAGTGACTAAATGGTAATCATTTCTTCTACTAGGAGTGTGGATATGGGGTAATCATTCTCGATTTTTTGTACTCCTTCCTATTCAAAATAAATGTCGTTTTGAGAAGTTGCACAATAATTAAGAATTTGTTGTCAATAATAACCCTATTTAATGAAGATAGAGATGAATGTTTTGAGAAAAAATGAAGAGGGAATATAAAAAGATGTAGTGTATTTATTGACTAAATGGGGTAATAATGGAAAAAACATGTACAAAAGATCTAAAACGACATTTATTTGGTCAATAGTTGATAAAGTCAAAATAACATTTTGAAAAGAATAGGAGGTAGCATAATTCAAATTGACGATTGATTAACTTGTGCATGTTGAATGAATGTTAAGATTAGTTGATGATCACCGTCTCAAATAATCCAAAAAACTGGAAGAGAATGAATTGCTCGTCCGGGACATGCATAACGTAGTAATATTCGTAAAGTATTGTCTTGTAAAATAGATGATAACCCATGATTAAAAAAAAAAAACGCCAATTAAAAGTGAAAAATAGATTATAATCCTATTAGGTTTTAGACTTAAAAGATGTAGAAATAGATGATAACTCTATTGTTATTTAAACTTAAACGGACAGTGCATGTAAAAATAACTCATTTAATATATTCGTCTCCAATGACGGATTTAGATAAGGTTCAGGGGGGCCCATCATATAAAAGAATATTATAAAATATAGATAAAAATGTAAAAAAAAATAAAATTATAATATATAAACAAATAAAAATTAGTTTTATGCTATTTAAATTGAAATTAATAATATTATATATTTATTGAAAAAATACCGTAACAATCTTATATTTTATATTTTTAGACAACTTTTTTAAAATATTTATAATCTTTTGGGCTCTTAATTGTAAGTCAATTTAGTGATTTATGAAAACGAGTAACTGATTCGATTGTTAGATTTTTTTTATGTTGATTTTAACTTATATTTTGTGCAATCACATGTTTTTAGATTTTTTTTTAAAAAAATGGTCATTTGATAAACACACATCAACGAAAATATTACGAAATGTGTTGTAAATGATCAAATTTAAATTAATTTTTCAACCATAAAACTTATTCCCATAATTTATAGATGTTGAACTTAAATTATAAATACATGAAATCTCTTTTTTTCTTTTAAAAAAACTTTGAGGGTGATCCGATTACAAGTTCTTAAAAACATGATGATACACATATCAATATTTATATTAAATTAGCATTTCGACTTAAACTACAAACTCGTTATTTAACATTTAAATCGGAACCCCCCTGAGTAAAATTTCTAGATTCGTCAATGTCTATCTCGTGTAGGGTACATACTAGTAATAAAAATAACAGTGATTAATGAACAATTATTATGTAAATACATACTATAAAATTATAATTTCAACAATATTATATAAAATATAATAAATAGTTATAATGTATATTTTTGTCACCAATATATAAATTATTCTCGCAGGTCCATCATGTAGTCTATAAAATCGAGTCTCTCCCTTGGAGAATTCCAGAACCCCACATCTTACCACGTCTAATAAGCAGGCAGCACCAATCAGAACATCCCACGTGTCACCAAAACTCCTTAGCACCGTCGGATTATCCACGCTGTCAAATCTCAACCAATCGAACGCCTCCTCTCGTGTCAGTATTCGTTATTTCCTGCAAAAATCTCAGTATATAATCACTCCCCACTCATTCACGCTCAGATATAGGAAACAAAATTTCGAATTCACAAAACCTGAGCTCAAGATCTTTTGGCAGCTGCAATTCTACCAATGAGGAAGTGGACGATCCCTTCCGTTCTCTTTCTGCTATGCCTTCTGTTTCTTCTTCCAGATCAAGGTAATTTAATGGCGAAATCATTTATAGTTTGTAACCTTCTTCTTTTCCCCCATTTTTTTCGAGCAGTGGTTCGTTGATTATGCTTGATTTAGTGATGAATGCTGTGTATTTTGGTTTGTATGTGTCGGATTTTGTGATGATTTGGAAGTACTTTTATGGTGAAATCGTATATAGTCTCTAACCTTTTTTTTTTTCGTTTCCATTGTTTTTTTAGTAATGGCTCGTTGATTATGATTGATTTAGTGTTAGAATGCTTTGTATTTAGGTTTGAATGTGTTGGATTTGTTAATGATTTGGAGTTAACGACGGCGAAATTGTGATGTCTAGGTCGGAAGATACAGGCGAATGCAGAGGAATCAGGTGCTCCAGTAGATCCGCCGAAGGTGGAGGAGACAATTGGCGCCGTTCCGCATGGATTATCTACCGATTCTGATGTCGTCAGGAGGTGATTTGATTTTTTTTTTCCCTGGTTTATGTTCATTCAAAATGTTGTGGTGTATGGAATCTTATGTTTATTGAGTTTGGTTTTGTGATTTAGAGAAGCTGAGTCAATGTCGAGAAAAGGTCTGCGAGCGAATGCGCAGAAGTTTGAGTTCCAGGCTGAGGTTTCGCGACTCATGGACATTATCATCAACTCTCTTTATAGTAACAAGGATATTTTCCTGAGAGAGTTGATCTCGAATGCCTCGGATGTGAGTTTTTTGTGCTTTCTAATGTTCAGGAATTTTTTGTTTTTGATCAAGACATTGAAATTTGAAATTTTCTGAAATCTTAGGCACTGGACAAGATCAGGTTCCTGTCACTCACTGACAAAGAGATTTTGGGTGAAGGTGACAATACCAAGCTGGAGATTCAGGTTTGTATATACAACTTAATTATTTTGCTGAATTGTCTATTGCTATGAACAATCTTATAGTGCGTGGAAGATTTTTTTTTGATGATTAAATTTGAAAAAAATAGACCATTTAATGTATTTGAATGTACAATAGCTCTATATGAAACCTTACATATTCAGTCCATACACTGTCTGCTGTAGTGAGGTCTTGAATATTCCTTCATTTCAGAAAGTTGCCACCTAAAATGCATTGTGTCTGAAATTTAGTGACTCTTCTGGTCTCTGAATTTACTATTTGGTGACTACAGATTAAATTAGACAAAGAAAAGAAGATCCTTTCCATCCGAGATAGAGGTATAGGAATGACAAAGGAGGACTTGATTAAGAACCTTGGCACCATTGCTAAATCTGGGACTTCAGGTAATAATTAACTGTCCTGATGCGAAATGTTGTCGATTTTTTGTTGATGGGTAGGTAAGAATGGTTGCTAATTATTTATAATACGTTGTCTCCAGCATTTGTGGAAAAAATGCAGACTAGTGGCGATCTTAACCTGATTGGGCAATTTGGTGTTGGATTCTACTCGGTATATCTTGTGGCCGACTATGTAGAAGTGATTAGCAAGCATAATGATGACAAACAGTATGTCATTGACCCTCCTTAGCCTATTAGAACACCATCTTTTATATTGTTTCTTTACAAAATATTTACTTATAGCAATTCTATAATTGTGACCACTTTCAGGCATGTGTGGGAGTCAAAGGCTGATGGAGCTTTTGCCATTTCTGAAGATACATGGAATGAGCCTCTTGGTCGTGGAACTGAAATCAGATTGCATCTCAGAGACGAAGCACAAGAGTATTTGGATGAGTTTAAATTGAAGGTTTGTTGCTTGTTAATTCTTCTGATGCCCAAATAATTGCTTCATATAAGTTATAAATATATTCCATTACTGTATGTAATTATTATTGGCCATGATCTATGATTTGGATATCATGTCTATACGTATAATGCATTGCGGTGATGATATTTTCATAATGTTTTCTCCCCTATTATACTTTTGGTATCTCCATGTTCTTCTCATTGTACTGGTCAGATTTGTACTTGGTGGTGTACAATTTTGAAATTGGTATGCAAAATTCTAGACTGCCTTCTATATGCCTTCTGGGTATCTGTTTTTATCATATTTGTAATCATTTCAGTCTTCCTCCTTAATTTTAGTTTTAAGGATGAATCATTTATCAAGACCGCATCGTAGGAATTGTTATTGGGGAGTTACATGCACAGTGGATATGGTTAAGGAAATGGGTCAGGGGTGCTTGACATGGAAAAACATTGGAAGAACGAATGATGGTTGCGAGTAATTAACATATTTGGGCGTATGCATAATGAATGAGTGTTACCATTGATTTTATGGCATCTTATTCTTGAGAAAGCCATTATCTGAGTTATAATCTTATATGTGACATCAATGTTTGAACATGAACCTTACTGTGGGTTTAATGATCTGTCTTACTATTATGTGTTTCTTTAAGTATAATGATCTTACTTCTCAAAATAACCGAGATGCAGGATTTGGTGAAGAAGTATTCTGAGTTTATTAACTTCCCCATATACCTTTGGGCCAGTAAAGAAGTAGATGAGGAGGTTCCTGCTGATGAAGATGATTCCAGTGATGATGAGGAGTCAAGTATGTCTGATATCTTTCTCGAATTCTTCATATTATAGCATTAAATTTGTTTATTTATCTAATACTGGAAAGTACTGTGGCATGAACAGCTGAAAGCAAATCTTCTGAGGAAGGAGAGGAAGAAGATGCTGAGAATGAAGAGGAGGAGAAAAAACCCAAGACAAAGACTGTTAAAAAAACTACATACGAGTGGGAACTTCTGAATGACATGAAAGCTATATGGCTAAGGAACCCAAGGGAGGTGACAGATGAAGAATACACCAAATTCTATCACTCTCTGACCAAGGTATGAGCTGTGTCTTGTTTATTGTGTTTCATGTTGTCACTGCAGACTTCCCTATCCTTCTTTTGGGGCATATTTAATCATTTTCTTAATTAAAACCTATGCTTCTTAACAGGACTTTGGTGACGAGAAGCCGTTAGCTTGGAGTCACTTTACAGCTGAAGGTGATGTTGAGTTCAAGGCTGTGTTGTTTGTGCCTCCAAAGGCTCCTCATGATCTGTACGAGAGCTACTACAACTCGAACAAATCCAACTTGAAGTTATATGTCAGAAGGGTCTTCATCTCAGATGAATTTGATGAGCTTCTTCCCAAATATCTGAATTTCTTGATGGTAATATTTGTTTTCACCCTCAAGCAAATGTGCTCCTTTCTTGGACTTAGGATTGCATTCTTACTATTTCATCTATGTTGAGCAGGGTCTTGTTGATTCTGACACTTTGCCACTGAATGTGTCAAGAGAAATGCTCCAACAACACAGCAGTTTGAAAACAATCAAGAAGAAACTTATCCGAAAGGCCCTTGATATGATCAGGAGGCTTGCTGATGAGGATCCTGATGAATCTAATGATAATGATAAGAAAGGTACAATTCTGTAGTTGCTTTGAACATTTTAGATAACAAAAATTCAAACAGATTATTTTCCCTCTGTATTGAGTAGCTTCTAGAAAGCTGTTTGACATTTTCTGGTTATGGGAATTTGAATTATGTTGCTGTATATTTTTGTGTTATCTGCCCGGCTCGCCTAACTGCACCATCAAAACATGGACCTGAATTAATTCTGAAACTTCATATTCCTGCAGAAGTTGAAGAATCCAGTGACAGCAACGAGAAGAAGGGTCAGTACGCAAAATTCTGGAATGAATTTGGCAAGTCGATTAAGCTTGGTATCATTGAGGACGCTACCAACAGAAACCGCCTGGCTAAACTTCTCCGTTTTGAGACGTATGTAAATTTTTTTAAAAAAAAAAAA